ACTTTTGAAAAATCAGAGCCAAATACATGGTCCTGCAAGATACTTACCACATGAGGCGGCACGCAGGGAAAACCGAATCAAGGTCAGTTCCAGGAACCAGAATATTGGCTACAGCCCACATTTCATCAGCCATCCAAGAGTTAACCCAAATTATCCAGTGCTCCCTTTCCCCAAACAGAAAAGCTGGCTGGGACGTTACTTTGCCTGGCGGGGACACCTCCTGTCAGGCGCAGTTTCATAGGATGGGCGGCCAATTACTGACTTTATGGGCCCTGCATTGAGCACCCTACGTGCTTAAGCCCCCACCTTGAAACCACGTGTCTGCCCAACACGGGCTGGGCAATGACGCCCCGAGGGGGGCCTCATCCCTCCTCCATAGCCTGAACGAAAGAAAGAAAGAAAGGGTAGCCCGCAGAAGAAGGAGCGAGAGAGAGAGAGAGAGAAGGACTTTCACACCCCCTCAAACAGTTTGGGTAGTTGGCTGCTACGTCCGTAGCATCATCAGCAGAGCGGTTTAGTGCCAGGGCCGTAGATCGTACGGTGGAGCTGGCGGTCTCAAGGCACGTCCTAATGAGGGCAAGGTGCAGAGTCATCCATCATGTGAGGTGGGGTGCATGTTTGCAGTAGGTACTCTCGAGTCCGTAAAGAATGCCAAGCCCTTGTCGTACAAGTTGAGACACAGGATCCCAACAAAGGCAGAGCAGGACAACCCCTGAAACAAGGCCTGAGTGCCAAAAGCCGAAAGGCGAAACAAGAGTGCTTCCGTAACAAGAAATGACAAGAGAGGCAAAGTACCAACCCACGGGAGGGGCGGGCCCACAAGTGTTGACAACTACGCTGTGTTTCCACACTTACGCCAGAGGGTTCCTGATGAGCTCATTTCCTTCGGTTACGGATGGTATGAGATTGCTGTGCGCGTGGGGGCGCGATGATCATTGTGTTGCTAGTTGGGGGACTTGGCAGCTTTATTCAGGGACTTTGCAGCTTTTGACAGCTTCAGTGGCTGAGCCCACGCACGGCCCTCGAAGTGAACCAGAATCAAACCTCGTCCCTCAGTACTGTGGTATGTTGTCATGCCCGAATAGTAGTTATCTGCTTCCATAGTTACCCTCCATGGTGACAGTCGGGAAATCCAGGAGACGAGTCGGCTTGCAACCACGCACCTGAAACTAGTGTGACTGCTGCCACATGTTGGATCCTGCCAATTATGCGTTGTGTAGGGCTGTTGGTTTCGTCTGATTTGATAGTTAGGATGCGTCATGAATCGTGAACTGCGCGAGACTAATTCAGTTTGGGTGACAACTTGGCAGTTTGGGTTCTTCGCGGATCGGTCCTCTGGGGTACCGACTTCTGTGACGCCTGGACTGTGCGGGGTGCAGGGCTGGGCCCTGGAGGGTTGTAGAACCCCCTTTCACCCGAAGAAGAAGAGAGAGAAGGAAGGAAAGAAAAGAAGATAAAACAAACGAACTAAAGTTACTGAAGAAAAAGAAGGTAAGTATCCAGAACAGAGAAAAGAAAACAACACATGTGTTTTTCATCAGTTTCCTCTATTTATTCATCATTTTCATGATTTTTACATTTTCACACTTTTCTCACATTTTTCACTGTTTCCAGCATGTCTTCGTTAGTGTTTATGTGTTTAAAGATTCTCATCATGTTGGATCATGCTCATCCCCTTCTCATTATTAATCACATCACGTTGCCAGATCAAAAGCGGCGGAAGAAACTCATGTTCTAATCTTGGTGCAGGTTTTGCAATTGGGTGGGCTGCACCCCCCCAACCCCCCTCCCGCTGTTGTTGTACAAAGTCATCAATTTCCTCTTTATTCATTCTTACTTTATATGTTCTACGATCGTCTCATAGTTTTCATCATTTCATCATCTTCCAAGAGTTGTCAAAGTTGTTCATCTTCCTCATCATTTTTGCCATGTTCATCCCCTTCTCATCATTCATCACATCACATTGCCAGCTCAAAAGCGGCGGAAGAAAGCTCATGTTGTAATCTTGGAACGACAGTCCCAAACCCTGCGACCAAGGCCGAGAGAGAGAGAGAGAGAGAGCCCGTCTGGCCTAGCTAGTGCTGACCCAGACTGCGCGGACCCTTGGGGCTCGGGGCAGTGCCCCGGCTCACCCGGGCGGGGTGGGCTTAGCCCGCAGAAGAAGAAGAGCCAGTGAGTCACTATTAGTCGTTTGTAGAGAGTTGGGATCTGCCGCGTACTTGCAATGCCTCAGCAGCTGTAAACGGCATTTGAGGGCACAATGGCAATCTTCATCGAAAGACGAACGCTGCATGGCCAAGGATAGGGGACGCGGAGAGAGTGTGCCATCCGGCTCGATGTGGATTTAGATACAGTTTTCATAGATATTGCAGAAGATGTGATTTACAACGAGATTACGAGGGTTGTTGGGTGGAATAGATCCGCTCCACACCATGTAGCGATGTCTGACTTGCTTGCCGCAACCGTTTGGCCGGCACAGACAAGCGGTAGGCAGCCTCTAGGGTTTGCTTCTCCAGGCGGGCAAGGGACATGAAAATGCATGCTATCCTCAACGTGCATGGGACAGGTGTACGAATGAAGACATGGTTGTGGTGGAGTTTGGCCACAGTTGCAGGTGGAATTGTTGTGGGAAAGGACTCCGCACCAGCTCTCCTGCAGATCTCGGCTAGACATCTGCCTCCCATTCCGCAGCCTCCTTCGCAGCCTGCGCTTCCAGAGATGCCGACGTTGCCACAATCGGTGTTTGATGTCTCTCCGCCCGCTGTACGACTGGCACCGACACCCCCGCCCAATGCTTCTGCCATTCCGTCCATCACGAAGCAGAGGGAAGCATGAGACTGACTAGACCGTAGCCCAGCGGCCCAAAGACCGACCAGATCTGATCTGCAAAGTGAGTTTTGAAGAAAAGCTGGGGCAACTCCAAGAGGGCAAACGCAGGCAGGGCGGAGTGTAAAAGCCAGGTTTGCTTCTGCCTGCGCTGGTAGTTGAAAGGATGTGGGCAGGGGCCCGTATTGTTGCACGCTTGGAATGCCTGAAGCGTGCTGCCGTTGCCGTCTCTCAGCAGAGTCACAAGTTATGTTGGCTAGTGTGCCTTTCTCATCCTGGGACGCTGCTACGTGGCAGATGATTGTTCATCATCGGTGCGCACCTCAGTGGAGCCATCATCCTGCTCATGCTGTTATGGCTTGCACATGCCATTTTCAACCTTGTGTCAACATGGTTTGGTCAGCGAGTTTTCCTGCAGAAACATCACGGTCCAATCTTTACGATCAAAACAGATATGACACGAAGAAGGTTGGTAGGACCCCCAACGCAACGATGACAAACATACACAAGGATATACACTTGCTGATATGAACCTCTGAGGGTCTGTGCCATGCTCATCGGCCAAGTTGACTCTCCAGGCAGTGCAACAATACATGGCAACTGTACCTATGTAGGATGTCATAACAGGTACTCCAAGCCGGCTGAGCTTTTGTCTCGTGCATTTGGGCAGCTTCGAAGGATGAGATTCCTAAATGCAGGTCCCATCCCCCCGCTCCCAAGCTACCTAATTACTTCAGCATCTGAAGCTTAATCTTCAGCACAAGGATGGACATACTGCTGGCAATTTTTTTTCTTGAATGTTCCCCCAGTGAAGAATCTCACAAGTGTTGCTTTGGCGATTACATTATCAGTTGGGGCAACATGTTTCGGGAACGAAGACCAACATGCTACAAAACGTGGCTTTGCTTTCGTCGAAAGGTCTCCAGCTAAGGGCTCTCACGCCTCGTTCTTGGGAATGTTTATCGCTCCTCTCCTTGATCTTCAGGTTGAAAGGGCCAAAAGTTAAGCTGAAGCTTGAAGTTCTGCAAAAGCGACACCGGCGACAGCAGCACTGCTAGTCAAAATAGGGCCTGTTTTAGGGGTCTGGGTTAAAAGAGATATTACATGCGTTTTTCTGTCCACCCAGATGCAAGCAGCCATGAATATGCATGTTAAACATTTGAACTAGCACGCGTTCGGCCACGGATTCACGGAGTGGTAGACAGTACGCTGCGGGTGTGCCCAAGGTCATGACCCGGGTAGCCGACGAGCTGACAACAAACCCATTTAGCCATCGACTCAGGTTGCTAGACTATTTCGCGGTGATTTTGATGTTACAGCCATGCACAAGGTTTGCCTCCCGAGCTGGAATGCTTCTGGTTGCAAGAGCCTGCAGCCGAAAGGTCTGCAGAAGAGCGCCTGCAGGTCGTCCAGCTGATGTGAAGACTCTCCAGTCGCCTTTGGTTCTTCGCGCAACCTATCTTGGCAAAGGAGCGCAAGCTAAAAGTCTGGGAAAAGCCGACCTGCTCGTCTAGCTATGCTGCAATTTCCAAAATTCGTGACCCTGATCTCCCAATGGCGTGGCGGCCTCCGAGAACCGTGGACATGGCCAGATGTGGAAGTGAGCCTTGGTAATGAGGCCTGTACCTCAAGCAGTCGATGAGGCGCTTGCAGCCGCAAAGATGAAGGCGGTCTGATGGCTTGTGCATCGCATTGTGCATGTCTAGTCTGGGGCCTTGTTAGAGGTCATGGAACAAGAGCCGCCAGACAACACATTCTTGACGTGCACGCCTCAGTAGTCCAGTAGCATTGTCAGAATGGGCAAGCGCGCAAACAATGGTGTTGGTCTTGCTTTTGCCTACGTTCTTGCCCTCTGCCTACGTTTGATCAAGGACGGTGGCCACAAAACCAGCAATAGGACAAGTTGAGCCTTTGCGGAAAAGTCCAGCCCTCTTGGGTTTTGTAGGTGTGCGTTCCATTTGCGCGGAGCTTCCATGACTTGCCCAGCAGAACGGCGCCCAGGTGAGAAAGACATCAGGACATACGTGCAAAGAAAGAGAGAGGTATTCTTAGTGCATATGGCATGCGACAACAAAAGAGAGGAGATTGACGGGACCTCAGCAACTCTTGGCCTTACAGCGTTTCCAGATGCTCCCAGGCTAAATGACTACAACATTTGAGGTGCGTTTGGATGCCATGGCGAAGGCAAAGGAAGATGCCTTGGCGACTTCACAGCAAACGTTGGATGAAGACGCCAAAAAGTTTGAGGACTATTTGCAGGATCCGCGGGAGAATCCTGCTCTGCACAGATGTAGATGACTTCCCCATGTTTTGTGCAGGAACGGATTGCCAAAGCTTCCTCAGCAACAAAGGAAAGTGAAATGCATGCGAAGGTGAAGCAGGACAAAGTAGCCAGAATCAAAAGTCTCAGGCAGCAGATTTCTGCAGTGCAAAGTGAGACGAGCAAGTTGAAGGAGGCCGAGCGAGTGGGCTATTTAACACCGGTACTGTAGCTAATTGCGCGCCTTGGGGTTGGCATGGCCGGCCAAGTCGCAGGTCAGGGTGGAATGTGAAAGATATAAGATGTTCCTGGAAAAGATAACGCCGGGCGAATGGAAGGAAGACCAGCACAGCCCTCAGCTGGCAGGCGCATCACAGAAGCTCTGCACGTCCTTAAATGGTGCCAAGGCGGAAAAAGAAGGAGCAAAGGAAGAAGGAACGCGCGGAAAGGCCTGCACATGCATTGTTGGGTTCAGTACATGAACATGCTCGTCTGTAAGGTGGAAGAAAGAGCGCTTGGCCCCCATCATGGAGCAGCTCGCGCAGGAGGAAGAAAAGCTCTTTGAAAAGATCGCGCAGGAAGAGGCTGAGGCAGCTTACCACAATGGTCTCAGAGACATGTTCCGATGTGCAAAGTTGCTTTTGCTTTGCAAGGTGGACGGCCTGACCTGTAAACAAGACGTAAAGGCTCGCTAAGAAACACATGAAACACTGATGGGCTTGTTTTCAGACCTTTGCAGCATGAGATGCGTACGCCCCGCTTCAAACGTGGGTGTTTTTGCAGAGAAATTGTGCTCGGCATGTGGAAGCAACCGCCAGATTTCTGGGGGGACATTTGGTCAGCAAACTGCTGCCGGGGAAAAAGTCCTGCACCTCAAAGCTTTGGTCCCAGCATGCCCGGATGTCCCATAGGGGCTCTAGGTGGTGTACGACTTCCTCCATCAGCAGTTTACAAGCCCAAAACCAGTGCTGCCACCAACTGGTGCCTTCACCCATTTCCGATGGGTACGAAGGAGAAGGCCCCACAAGAACGGCTCAACGACTGTCTGGGTTCCCAGGCAGAAGCTTCCAAGAAACGAGGCAAGAAGCAAAGACGGAGGGAAGACGAGGCAGCGTCAAAACTAGAGGCAAAGAAGTGTTCGCCGGTGGATTGGCCAAGCAAGTTGCAGATTTTGTCAGGAGGAGTTGCTGCAACGTCAGCGAGAGCGAGACAATCGCCGTAAGCGTATCCAAAAGCGAAGAGAGGCAATTGAGCCTTTTGCAAGTTGGTGCCTGTTTCCCTGAATTCTCGACTGCTTGTTTTCTTGTGCACAGGAGGAAGAAAGAAAAGTCAACGCAGAGCGTTTGACCAAGTTTTGTGTGTCGCAGCAATTGTAGCATGCAAGTCGTAGATGTCGCTGTGATGACATGCTGCTACCTGATTCAAAGGTATGTTGCCGTGTCGTCCGAAGAGGAGCCAGAGCTTTTCTTCAAAGACGCTTCGTAGCAGAAGCAAAGAGGTGTTTGCACCAGATCAGAGGTAAGGAACCACTTGTTAAGCAACTCTCTGCAGGACTCTAAGAAGCATACTGAAGTAGCTTGAAAGGTTCAGAACATTTCAGAACTCTTGACGACTTGTCCACTTGAGGCACCTTAGTGCCCTTTGCATAGCACACTTGGGTCTTGCATTGCTCCTTTCTTATGAAAGCCAGCCTTTGCCTGGAAGGCTGTACATCTGTCATCTTCACTATGCCATGTAGATCCTTCGGCCGAAATGCTAGAAAGCGTTCTGTACATGAGGTGCAGTTGCTAGCCTGGCAGTGAGTGTATACCAATGTATACAGCCTCCCTTAGGAAGATTGGCATTTGTGGATGTAGTCCTTGTTGTTTCGTGTGCCGAA